ATAGGCGCCGAGCCTACTATATTGTTTTGTTATGTTTCGGTTTCTCCCTCTACTTATCAATATATCTTTTTCATATTTCAGATAATTTGCAGATTACTATACACTTCCTCCTAAATGCTAACATATGCACATCAACTAGAGTTCAGTATTAGTTTATAGATCTTTGGGTATAAAATTAACATGCAATGAAATGTTCTCATCTTAAAAATGCATTTGGTAAATTTTGACTAATGCTGTGTACATACACCTGTATAACCAAAACTATCAAGATATAAGATATCTCTCAGAGGTATTACCCCATTCCAGGCAATCTCCACCTTGATTTTTTTCTAACATAGGTAAGATTTGCCTAGTGTAGGCCTTCATATCCAAGGAATCATACAAACTACACTCTTTTGTGTAAGCTTTTCCACACCATGTAATACTTTGGTTCATCCATGTATCAACAGCTTGTTCCTTTTAATTGCTGAGAAGTATTCCACTATGTAAATGTACCATAAAATAATTGTCTGTTCAGATTTTACTTTGCTTACAAATAAGGTAGAAAATTAAGCCAGTAGAAACAAGTGTTTAAATGTTAATGGATCTCTGGCTTTGTTAGTGACTGTTTTCTGTCTTAGAGTGAATCACATTTCTGTGCTTCAGAGATCCATAAAAATACATGGCTTCAACTTTCTTAAGCAATGTGTACCTTTAAATTCATAGTGATTGAATCTATGAATGCTTTAATGCCAAACACAACTGGTATTCAGCATCTTACATTTAATGCAAATTAGGTCTTCCTTCTCATGTCAGCCTTCATGAATTGGTAAATTATGCTCTAGATTTTAGCAAAAATACTTGGCTTATGCACTGAATGATAGGCTTCATGAAAGAATTGAGACTTAAATTAGTCTCAGTTAGCAAGTGTTCAATATATAATTGGATTGTTTTAAAGTTTGCATAGCAGGCTAATTTCAACTTTTTCTGCATTTTTAAGGTTAATGCTCTGGATAATCTCGGTCAGACTTCTTTGCACAGAGCTGCACATTGTGGTCATCTGCAAACCTGCCGCCTACTCCTGAGCTATGGATGTGATCCTAACATCATATCCCTTCAGGGCTTTACTGCCTTACAGATGGGAAATGAAAACGTACAGCAACTGCTTCAAGGTATTAAATGCTTCCAGGAAGTCAGTTTTTTTTAATTAACCTTTATAATTTTTCACATATCAGGTGTTGCAAGTAGGAATTGGTAATAAAAAAAGTTTTGAGAATTTTTAGCTATTTCTAAACTTATTGCACATTTAATCAACTCATAATCAGTGCCCAAATATCATGAATTGATAATTATGATTTTATTCCAATAGCATTTTCTGCCCAATTTCTCTGAGTTAAATAGGTTGTCTCTCAAATTTTTATCAAGAAAGCTTTTAAGAATAAGATACAGTAGTTGCTATTTCTGTTTCAAGAAAGGAAAACTTTAAAAGGTAGATATCTCTTAGTTTAGCAGCCCTTGTGACACTAATACTCTAAATACTGGCTCTGCTTCTTTACTTTTTTTAATGCCCTGCAAATTTAAAGCATATAGAGTTTGTATAAGGTAATCAACTGTGTGGCTTACTAAAATGTACTTAAGAAGTGAATGTACTCATATTCAGTACATTATAAAATATTTAGGTCAAATACCTACACAGATGGCATAGATTAAACATTTCAACCTAGCAGTCTAATTCCATAAATTTTCAAGTCTATTTGTCTACATCTGTAGCTTTTATTAAAATTTAATGGAGTAGCTTTGACATCTCAGTGCTCAGATGAGAAGAAATGTAATAGATCAACCCTTTCTGTCTTTGATAGTCATTCTTAATGATCTTTATGCCTGTAGTACAGAAACCACATTTTGAGAAACATTGCTTGAGTAGATGAAGGCAGATAGAACCCTCTGAAGTTTGCCAAAATCAAACTAACTACAAGCCTACTTTCAAAATTCATTTACTTCCTCATATATTGTTCATTCATTTCAGTGTCAATTTGGGGGTCAAAACACTAATCCTATCCAGTTGGCTAGTGATAAAATTTACAGTTTGGCCAGTTTTATGCTAAGTATTATTACATATACCTTTCTAAGAACTACTTTCATAGTTTCTTAGAATAAACTATTGAAGTGGAATATCCAAGTCAAAGGGTAGCATGTAATTGTTAAATTATCTTCTAGAAAGGTTATATGCACTGTTTTACACTCAATAAGTGTAGGAAAGCACCTATTTTCTGAAAGTGCCTAAAACACTGGGCATTAGGATTCTTTTTTATTTATTCTTTTGAGACAGAGTCTCGAAGATAATTGTTAAATTATCTTCTAGAAAGATTATATGCACTGTTTTACACTCAGTAAGTGTAGGAAAGCACCTACTTTCTGAAAGTGCCTAAAGCACTGGGCATTAGGATTCTTTTTTATTTATTTATTCTTTTGAGACAGAGTCTCAAGCTGTTACCCCGGGTAGAATGCCGTGTGTCATAGCTCACAGCAACCTCCTATTCAGACTCGAGCAATCCTCTTGCCTCAGTTTTTCTGTTTTTAGTAGAGGTGGGGTTTCGCTGTTGGTCAGGCTGGTCTCAAACTCATGAGCTCAAGCAGTCCACCCACCTCAACCTCCCAGAGTGCTAGGATTACAGGCATGAGCCTCATTGTGATTCTTAATATTTTCCTTGGGTGAATGTTCACGTGTGAATTATAGAAGTGAAAAGATACTTCTTTTAGTTCAAACTAGAGAAATTACTGTTGATGTAGCTCCCCATTTCTTCTCTGCCTAATAGTGGATGAAAAATATGATCTCATTTTAATTTGCAATTCTGGTTATGAGTAAGTTTGAGTATATTTTAGTATGTGTGAATTGCTTGTTCATGTCCTTAGCCCATTTGCCTGTTGAGGCTTTCCAGGGTATTCATCTCATAAGGGCATCTTATACATTAGATACATTCTCTTTTGAGATGCATATTATGCTTTTTTCCATTTTGTTATTTAATGCTGTGTTATGGCCTGATATATCTTTCCAAATACGTTTGTTTAAATGTTTATTTCATTCTCAGGTACAAGTGAGATATTTTCCTTGTTTTCTGAGATTTTAAATGAACAATAAACATAGAATTTTAGAGCTGGAAATGACATTAGATATTTTCTAGTCCATTTTCTCTTTTTAGAACTCAAAAAACTGGAGGCCCAGGAAGTTTAGGTGACTTTCCCCAGTTAAGATAGCACGTTAATCAAAGAACCATGGTTAGATTTATGGCCGTTGCTCTCCTAATTTAATACATTACCATCATTCCACATGGCTTGGTTTTAAAGCAGGCTTTCTTTCATCATCTGTTTTGTCTTCTCTCAGATTGCTTACATCACATTTTATGTTTATTATGTACATTCACATATTATTTGTATTTTATTTCAAAAAGTGTCTTACTACTACATAGCGATTTCCTACATAATCTACCAAACTGTAAAAGAACTTTACTTTTTGATAAGATGCCTTCTATAAAACTTGGCTTCATCTTCTAAATAGAATTTAATCATTCTTTTCCCCTCTCTCTTTAGAGGGTATCCCATTAGGTAATTCAGAAGCAGACAGACAATTGCTGGAAGCTGCAAAGGCTGGAGATGTAGAAACTGTAAAAGTAAGATACAATCTTCTGTTTTTGTTTACTTTGGATTTTTATTTTAACATTGCTTAATGAATCTGCCCTGTTATAACAAAAAGCCTGGTTTATTTATATGGGCCTTGCTTAGAAAAGTTCAGTAATACAATCTTTCTTAGTAATGTAATATAATATAATCTTATTCTTTTCTGCAAATAAGGAACATTGGGTAATAAAAGAAAAAGATGCTTCAGGCTAAGCCCCTGAAGCTCAAGCTACAGGGGCTAATAGCTACATAGACCAGAGCTACATAGACCAAATTCAGCCTGGGCCAGCCAATCAACAATGGCAACTACAACCAAAAAATGGCCAGGTGTCTTGGCAGGCACCTGTGGTCCCAGCTACTTGGGAGGCTGAGGCAAGAGAATCATTTAAGCCCAGGAGTTGGAGGTTGCTATGAGCTGTGAGAGCCACGGCACTCTACCCAGGGTGACAGCTTGAGGCTCTGTCTCAAAGAAAAAGACGTTTCAATTTCACATTCATCTCAGTAAATAATCAAATTCACAAATTTAAATGAATACATACAATACTTGCTTAAAGAACCTTGTCGTTTGTTTCTATAAAAGAATAAAATGTATCAAATTATTGTACCTTACTGTTTACATATGACACATAAAACAAGAAGGGAAAAAACAATGTATCACTTCTGTCTACAGATTTCTTTTTTTTTTTTTTTTTGCCCACTCTACCTGTGAGGATCTAGTACTTTAGTAATATAGCAGTAATATGGTAGTAATATGGTGCCACTTCTCAAAGTGACTGTCTCCCAGTAATCGTCAATTTGTATAGGCTGAGATATTTTTTAGTATTTTTTTAATAGTCAAAACAATCTGAGGAAGGATTACTGTAAGAAGATTGCTGTAAGAGACTTTCAAAACAGCACTTGTCCTATTTGAGAGGTCACTGAGAGGTAATAAGTTTTTTTTTATTTTATTTTAGAGACAGAGACTCATTCTGTCTCCCTCAGAGTGCTGTGGTGTCACAGCTCATAGCAACCTCCACCTCTTGGCTTTAGGCGATTTCTCTTGCTTCAGCCTCCCAAGTAGCTGGGACTACAGGTGCCCACCACCACAATGCCCAGCTTTTTTTTTTTTTGGCCAGGATATGGGGCCAGCACCCTACTCCTTGAGCCACAGGCACTGCCCAACACCCGGCCATTTTTTGTTGCAGTTTGGCCGGGGCTGGGTTTGAACCCTCCACCCACTGTATATGGGGCCAGCACCCTACTCACTGAGCCACAGGTGCCACCCAACAGGTAATAAGTTTTATGAAAAAGTTAAATGTATTGGTTTCATTAATCACATAAGTACCAATTTGAGAAAATTTTATTGTTTCTGTGTAATGTTTTAGTCCTAAACAAATCTATTCCACAAAATCAGTAATTTTAGATTTCCAGAGAAAGAAATATAAATGTTGGTCTTATTTGAACTAGAACTTCAAGGGAATTTATTCATTGTCCTTTTAAATGAGTAGCTTTCTAGAAATTGACTTAAAAATTCATGTGATCCTTTCCTGTTACTTTGTATAGATAGTATAGACATCTCAAATAACTTAAGATTTTATTTTATTTTTTAAATTCATTTTTCAAAGATAAATGCCGGACAGGCACAGTGGTTCACGCCTATAATCCTACCACATTGGGAGGCCACGGTGGAAGGATCACTTGATAGATAACAGGAGTTCAAGACCAGCCGAGGCAATATAGCAAGACCCTCCAGGTCAACAAAAAGTAGGAAAAGTAGCATGATGTGGCTTGTGCCTTAGTCACAACTACTCGGGAGGCTGAGGCAGGATAGCTTTTGCCTCAAGAGTTCAAAGCTGCATTTAGCTATGATTGTACTGTTGCACTCCAGCCTGAGTGACAGAACAAGACCCTGCCTCAAAAAAAGAAAAGAAAAAGAAAATGCTAGAAGGCGCCAGCTCAGTGGGTAGGGCGCCAGCCAGATACACCAAGGGTGGCAGGTTCGAACCCAGCCTGGGCCAGCTAAAAAACAACAGTGCCAACTGCAACAAAAAAAAATAGCCAAGTGTTTTGGTGGGCACCTATAGTCTCAGCTACTTGGGAGGCTGAGGCAAGAGAGTCACTTATGCCCAAGAGTTGGAAGTTGTTGTGAGCTGTGACTCCATGGCACTCTGCCCAGGGCAACAGCTTGAGACTCTGTCTCAAAGAAAAAGAAAAAGGCTCAGTGCCTGTAGCTCAGCGGCTAGATCATCGGCCAGGTCATCGGCCACATACACTAGAGCTGGCAGGTTCAAACCCAGCCCAGGCCTGCTAAACAACAACAACTACAACAAAAAAATATCTGGGCATTGTGGTGGGCTCCTGTAGTCCCAGCTACTTGGGAGGCTGAGGCAAGAGAATTGCTTAAGCCCAAGAGTTGGAGGTTGCTGTGAACTGTGACGCTGCAGCACTCTACCAAGGATGACATAGCAAAACTCTGTCTCAAAAAAAGGAAAAAAAGATAGTATAATGCAGTTTTATTTGACTTGCTTTATTCTCACCCTTAATATTCACATTTCTTTAATAAGAGGCTAAAAGAATATTGAAAGGATTTTGTTTGTTACTGATGACTTGTGGGAAAACAAAGCCCTGAGTTAAAAGCTAGTGAGCTAAGGGGGTTTTCTTTGTTTGCAAAGGATGTGATGAATATTAAGTTAAAAACAGCTAGGTAAAGGGCATCTAGCTGATTTTTTTGTGTATGTGGGTAAGAAGAGTAATACAAAATTTAAGGTATCATTTACTTAATATGTGTTGAAGAGCATAAAACTAGACTTAATAAACAAAACTTTTGTTTTCTAAACTTTGTTTTCGTAAAGATAGAGGGAGTGTAGAGGAGGAGATGGATGAAGAAATGAGATTAGGGCAGGAATTGGACTTAGAGAACAAATAAGGCCTTTGGATTGTGGAAGACTGTCTCTCCCCATGATAGGCTTCAGGCTGTCTTCTCTTCTGCTTTTAAAATCACCTGATGGAAATTCATTTCCATTAGCCTTTCCATTTCTTATCTATCTCTAGGCAGATGACTCTGTATGAGTCATGGGACAACATCTGCATATTACCCAATAAATACTTGAATATATGCTCAGTTGTGTTTGGTTGTGGTCCTGTGGTACAACCTTAAAACATCAGGCTAGATAACTTTTTTAGGCACCTACTATTAGAAAGCTATCTCAAAGTGAACAAAATTAAACTGAGAAATAGATAACCTGTGATAACTACTAAGCCCGGCAGCACCTGGTACCTGGCTTAAAAATACTATTCCTGGGGACCCGGCTTTGTACCTACTGAAATAGCATCTCTTGACTGGGACTCTGAATCTGTGTATCTAACAAGTTCTTATTTGGGTAGCACTGGAGAACTTTCTCAGTCCAATGATTAAACCCCTTCAGGTAAGCCCACTAATAGCTGGCTCTTCTGGTTTATTGAGCTTAAGACAATGTCTGCTTTTAGCATAGCTTAGTGAAAAGGGGGAAGGTTTTTATGAATACTGGTCATTTTTTTTTTTGACTCTTTGAGCACTGTGATTTATTATCTGTGTTGATTTTCTTCCCCAAACTTTCATGCTTTTCATGCAAAATACTCTTAAGTAAGTATTTTGAGTGTTACTCTTAACAGCCTTTCTCACTCAGGCTTCCTCATCTGAACCAAAGAACACAGAAAATTACTTGAGTGACGGTTCCCTTAATTCTCCCAAGGACTGTACATAACCATTAGCATTCTGTTAGTTAATTTATTCCATATAGTTCAGTATGATTCTCTTGGTGTGGTTCCTGGACCATCAGCATCATCCAGGCCCTCCCACAATCGCACTGAAATAGAAAATTTGGGAGTGGCACCCATTCCACGTGAAAGTTTGAGAACCACTGGTCTAGGATAGTACCTACACTTCTCAAATTTTAATGTGCTCATGGATAACCTACAGATCTTGTTAAAATGCAAGTTCTGACTCAGTAGCGGTCAGTCCGAGATTCTGAACTTTTAAAAAGCCCCTTGGTGATTCTGGTACTACTATGATCCAGTGTATCTCTAAGTATATTTGCCACAAAATGAAAGTAATAGTTGGCTGATAATTGGCACTTAGGTTAACTTTATGTAAATAGTAGTGGTAATGATAGAATTTTACCTACTAACTTTAGAAAAAGCAGGAATAGATGAGGGGACCAGAGAGATTCCCAGTAAATAAGATGAAATAAGAATAGTGAATAGTGGCTTGGCGCCCATAGCATAGTGGTTATGGTGCTGGCCATAAGGACCAAGGCTGGTGGATTCGAACCTGGCCTGGACCAGGTAAACAACAATGACATCTGCAACAACAACAACAACAACAACAACAATAACTGGGTGCTGTGGTGGGCACCTATAGTCTCATCTACTTGGGAGGCTGAGGTAAGCGAATCGCTTAAGCCCAAGAGTTGGAGGTTGCTGTAGGCTGTGATGCTACGGAACTTTACCAAGGGCAACATAATGAGACTCTGTCTCAAAAAAAAAAAAAGAAGACCGATGTGGTGATGTCAAAAAAAAAAAAAAAATAGTGAATAGTTTGTAAAATACAGATTTAATGAGAAAAGAAAAGTCAGACATTTTGAGGTTTCTACTAAATAAATTGAAATAAGAAATGAGAATATATAGCATCATGTGTATACTGTGTTCTGTCCTACAGAAACTGTGTACTGTTCAGAGTGTCAACTGCAGAGACATTGAAGGGCGTCAGTCTACACCACTCCATTTTGCAGCGGGGTATAATAGAGTGTCTGTGGTAGAATATCTGCTGCAGCATGGAGCTGATGTGCATGCTAAAGATAAAGGGCAAGTACCAGCAATTGTTGTGGCCTTTTTCTTATCTGAAAATATTTTTATAATAAGTGGTAGCTCTGTTTTCCCCCCAAGGAAATCTGTTTTCCTGACATTGTCTTAAATATAGCTTCTTAATTTCTGTTAAAATTTTACAATGGTTAGCATTTGTATAAAAACTTACTTGCATAATACCTTATAATTTTGTAATAGCTAAGGAGATTACAGGAATTACAGCATTAGTTGGGGTAGGGGTTGGTGGGGTTTTTTTTTCCAGATTAATAGGAGGGTACATGTGATTAGGTTTTTTTGCTTGTTTGTTTAGCTTGTAAGATAAAGTTTGAGTTGCAGTTGACCTGGGTTTTGTTTTTTAATTTTTTGTTTTGTTTTGTTTTGTTTTGGCTCCTGAGTAGGAACATAAACACTGGACCATCAGATTAAAAGTCTGATGTCCTATTGACTGAGCTGTTTGGGCATAGTGATTTTTAATATAGTATATTTTTAAATTTTCATTGAGGATATTTGAGTTCTTCTAATTTATCTTGAAATTATTGTTCATTAAAAATACTCAATTCCAGGGCGGCGCCTGTGGCTCAAAAGGGTAGGGCGCCAGCCCCATATGCCGGAGGTGACAGGTTCAAACCCGACCCCGGCCAAAAAATGCAAAAAAAAAAAAAAAATACACAATTCCAGATGTTGAATATATAGATGCTTGTCACATTCTCTGCATTTAAAATATTTTAAAATTTTTCTCCTCTAAGCCCCCCCAAAAGAATTTATTTCTACTTTCAATAGATTTCAGTTCTGTAAAGTAACAGTCAGTATAATTCCTTATATAGTTCAAGAAATATCTTCATTAGTTATGTATAATTACTCAAAACCTATCTTTCTCTGGCATTATTGCTCATTTAACTTTTCATTTCAGAGGTCTTGTACCTTTGCACAATGCATGTTCTTATGGACATTATGAAGTTGCAGAACTTCTTGTAAAGCATGGAGCAGTAGTTAATGTAGCTGATTTATGGAAATTTACACCTTTACATGAAGCTGCAGCAAAAGGAAAATATGAAATTTGCAAACTTCTACTTCAGGTATGTTTTGGTACTTCTGTGGATGGTGTGAACTACATAGAATATGCTTATGATTTTTTTAATGACTGTATATAAAAAAGTAAGAACATGAGAAACAAAGTTATCTAATTCTATGCCCAGATTTCAAACTAGTTGTCATAAACACTTATATTTTAATCCTCAAGTACATTTACCACCCCTAGACTTATGTCAAATATCATCATGTGATAGTTCTTTGATTATTACCTTTATTTTTCTTTTTTAATACTTTAACCTCATTATTTGGTGAATTAGTACAACCCAGATTTATTTACCATTGATAAAATGTCATGTACTTTATTTTACTGTTCATAAAAAGTAAAAACAATATAACATGAAAAGTTAATTTTTTTTAAAAAGACTTTTTTTTTCTTTTGGACAGTCTCACTTTGTTACCCTTAATAGAGTGCTGTGGTATCATAGCTCACATCAACCTCAAACCCTTGGGCTCAAGAGATCCTCTTGACTCAACCTCCCTTGGGACTATAGGCACCTGCCACAACACCTGGCTATTTTTTTAGAGACAAGGTGTCACTCTGGCTCAGGCTGATATCGAACTTGTGAGCTCAAGCAGTCCATCTGCCTTGCCCTCCCAGAGTACTAGGATTACAAGCATGAGCCACTATATTAATGCATTTTAAAACCTAGTAATATTTGGGCAGTGCCTTGTAGCTCAGTGAGTAGGGTGCCGGCCCCATATACTGAGGGTGGTGGGTTCAAACCCAGCCCCGGCTAAACTGCAACAAAAAAATAGCTGGGCATTGTGGCAGGCACCTGTAGTCCCAGCTACTTGGGAGGCTGAGGTAAGAGAATCGCGTAAGCCCAAGAGCTAGAGGTTGCTGTGAGCCGTGACACCATAGCACTCTACCGTGAGATGAGTGAGACTCTGTCTCTTAAAAAAAAAACCTAGTAATATTTAACTGCTTCTGTTATCTTTTTATTCTGCTTTTCTGTATATAAATTAAACATTATTAACAATGATCTTAACCTTTAAGGTAGACTCAGTATTAAATGATTTTCTTTGACTTATTTCACTGATCCAAGGGCCACACTGAAGCCAATTCCTCTCCCTTCCTATTTTTTACATGTGCAGCATGGTGCAGACCCTACAAAGAAAAATAGGGATGGAAATACTCCTTTAGATCTTGTTAAAGATGGAGATACAGATATCCAAGATCTACTTAGGGGAGATGCAGCTTTACTAGATGCTGCCAAGAAGGGTTGTTTAGCCAGAGTAAAGAAGTTGTCTTCACCTGATAACGTAAATTGTCGTGATACCCAAGGCCGACATTCAACACCTTTACATTTAGCAGGTGAGTAAGTTTGACAGATGGAGACTGGTAACATCTAGGATTCATTTTATGTGAGTAAAATATTTCCTGTACCTAAACTTGAAAATTCAAATCAGATATCTTCTAATGCTACCATTATAGTCTGCCATATATTCGTGTAGGCTAAGTTCCTGTTCACTTTAATACTAGTATTGTTAAATTCAGTAAGAACAGTTGAGACAGGCTCTGCCAGTCACCATGGCTTTGGGAATCGTTATTCCAAAACACCATTTTGTTTGTATAATCTTTAATGTGTGAGATCTTTTGTTTGTCTCATCGTTAGACTGGCTTAAACTAGCTTGCCTCATGGGAAACTAAAGCTATCCTTTCTTCTGATGATCTCTGCTAAGCATAGGAAGTTACATAAACCTCTTTCCAGTTATGTGTTGTTGTAATTTATTTGCAAGGGGTACCTTAACAAAATAGCAAAGACCAGGTGGCGTAACAAATTTTTTTTCTCACGTTTCTGGACAGTAGAAGTCAAAACTCAAGGTATGAGCAAGAGTTGCTGTCACTTGAGGCCTCTCTTCTTGGCTTGCAGATGGCTGCTCTCTAGCTATGTCCTCACATAGGACCTGGTATGAATATGTGTCCTATGTGTCCTTTTTCTAAGGACACCAGTCAAATTAGGTTAGAGCTCACCCCAACTGTCTCATTTTAACTTAATTAGCTCTTCAAAGGCCCTAACTCCAAATACAATCACATTCAAATTTACTGGGGTTAGGGCTTCAACATAATAATTTGGGGGAGGGGCATTGGGGTGCTCCCACTTAAGGGGCACAATGTAGGGGTGTATGGCACACCTTTTGGGTGGGAGACACAACTACATGATGGACTCCACGTAAACAAATTCAAATATTGTGACCTGGTTGGTTGTACCCTTGCATTAACCTGAAATTTAAAAAAAAAAGAAAGAATTTGTGACAGACACAATTCATTCCATAAAATTTGTTCTAGGTTTTCACTCATAAAATTGGCACAGTGTACCTTCATTTTTAGTGCACGTGTACAACATTGTGGTTTCAGTATAGGTTTTTCACTTCAGTGGAGTTCCATCATAGACACAGTTGATTCGTGGAAGTTTGTCTAAATATACATTGCTTAAACATGGTTTAAAAACAAAGAAAAAAGGTAATGTCAGTGTTTCTGCCACTTTGTAATATGGGAGGTAGAATCTATTCTCAGTTCAGTCTTAGAGTATAACTTAGTATGTTAATGATCAGAAGATAATTTTGATTATGTATGATTTTTACTTTAAATTCTCACTCCATATAAGTTGAGACCCCACTGTTCTATGGAAATAAACTACTTCCTAAATGCTAACATGTGAAAAAAAGTTTTACTACTTCTACTGGCTATCAGAATTTTCTAGTCCATGTAAGACATGACCTGACCTTTGACTAGAAATTGTGCTGTGCATATTTACATTAGCTTTTATATCTCCATTGCATTTCACCTAGAACATCTAACATTACTATTTAAAGCAGGGGTCCTCAAACTTTTTAAACAGGAGGCCAGTTCACTGTCCCTCAGACCATTGGGAGGGCTGGACTGTGTGGGCCCCAGGACGAGTCGGCTGCTAAGCAGGACAGGCAGCAGCAGCAAAAATACCCGGTGGGCCAGGTAAATGTCCTAGACAGGCTGCATGTGGCTTGCAGGCTGTAGTTTGAGGACGCCTGATTTAAAGAGTCTCACTTTATCACTCTCAGTGGAGTGCTGTAGTGTCACAGCTCACAGCAACCTCCAACCCCTGGGCTTAGGCGATTCTCTTGCCTCAGCCTCCCGAGTAGCTGGGACTACAGACGCCCATCACAATGCCCAGCTATTTTTTTTTGTTGCAGTTTGGTTGGGGCTGGGTTCGAACCCGCCACGCTCTGTATAAGGGGCCAGCGCCCTTCCTACCAAGCCACAGGTGCTGCCTATCCATGTTTTCTTTATAAGTCACAAATATGTTGTATGCACAAAATACTTCTGCCTTCTTGTGCATTGTTAAATACCACACCATGAGACCTGGACTTGTATTAGATTAGTGAAATATTTAGTTAATGGTAGGTTTGTAGTTTGTTTTTCTTTGCTTGATCATCGTAAATTATTTTGCTTTAGACCCTTAAGCAAAAAGACTAAAAATACAACAAAAATTAATGTAAATAAGGTATTTTTTAAGTGATACCCTGTTTTTTTGTTGGCAGAGTTAAGTTCAGATTTGCTTTCTGCCCCTGATTCTTTGTCAAATAAAACATACTTTCCCTTGAGGGTATTTACTGAGACAGCTGACAAGATGACAGCTGGGAGATTGTGGCATGTTTCCAAAATACTAAGTTTTACTTTATGGTTTTAGCAGCATACCAGACTTTCAGAGATGTGTACCCCTACGTTCTTTCTAGCAAAAAGCATGCTCTTATGACCTTTTGGGGAAAAGAGCTCTGAGACCTACTCTGGTGTGCTGCCTCCTGCTCTGCAGCCAGCTGCCATACCTAAACTGACCCTTAAATAATTGGGTATCTTTTAACTTACAGCCCTGTGGACCATGTACTTGATTTCAGGAATTACTGTGTAACAACCATGAAGACAAGGACTTCAGGAGGAGGGTTTTAAAGGAAAGATACAAGCAAATCAGTCAATATAATTTTGGGAGTCTCTAAAACCAGTGGATATCACCAAAAGCTTCCTGCTTGAGGACAGTGGGGAATTTTTAGACGATAAATCAGTAGATTCCAATGAGAAATTTTAGATCTGTATAATACATCTTTGTTTTTCTTAATAATATCTGTGCTTGATAAATTTATATAAATGCATACACTAGGTATGGCTTGTTTAATATTAACAAGTAAATGATTTTCTAAATTCTTTTCTAAATTAGCTGGTTATAATAATTTAGAAGTTGCAGAATACTTGTTACAACATGGAGCTGATGTGAATGCCCAAGACAAAGGAGGACTTATTCCTTTACATAATGCAGCATCTTATGGGGTAAGTTCTTCTGTCTTACCTTTAAAAATATGTGGAATTTTGAAAGTCAAAGTCAGTGTTGCAGTTCAAATGGAACATTTAGTTTGACTTTCTCATTATATGAGAGCTAAAGAAGTTAAATGTGTGAGTTTTAGTTCTGAATCTATTACTGTAAGCTTGCTCTGTAATACGCAGCATATTTGTGTCATTTGCCTTATCTTCCTTAACACTGTCTCTTATTTTCCGTGAGATACTGGTGATACTTATTTGTTGATAAACAGAAAACCCATTGGGTTTCATAATAATCTGGAGAGATTCTGAATTCCTAACTTACAGCAACCCTGAATGTTATATTCAGAATTGACCATCTTCAGTGATATATGTGAATAATTGAGAAAAGCTCCTACTTTATAAGTTGTTGCTCAGCAGTTACAACATTTGAATAAATTAGAAATCATTAAAGTCATATCAGTTTAGTTTCCTCTATGTAGAATTCTTAATTTTCTAGTTTCTTAAGTTATTGAAATGTCTACTATAATTTTTAATCAGCTACCCATAAGTTATGATGTTGGGGAGAAACAGTTTTCCAGGTTAAGTTTGAAAATGTGGAAGTAAGTATATAACTAGTTTCTTCTTAAGAAATAAAGTATAGTAAAATAATATTTCAGACTGTAATAGGAGTGTTTTCTTTTACAGCACGTAGACGTAGCAGCTTTACTAATAAAGTATAACGCATGTGTCAATGCCACGGACAAATGGGCTTTCACACCTTTGCATGAAGCAGCACAAAAGGGACGAACACAGCTTTGTGCTTTATTGTTGGCCCACGGAGCTGATCCTACTCTTAAAAATCAGGAAGGACAAACACCTTTAGATTTAGTTTCAGTAAGTCATGGGCTCTTTGAAAAATCTCAGTGCTTTCCTGACTTTTTAAAATTCACATAATATTGTATAAAATGTCTTTATAGTGAATGTAGCAAAATAAAGTTTTTAACCCAATCTTAAATCTAGCACTTCTTTGGTATTAAAACATAATAAGTAAATAATCATCAATCACTCTTCTTGGCCTTTTGGCCAAGATCAGATGTAGAATTATCAATAAATTATTAATATATACTGATACTTTTGAAATAGGAAAAAGAAGTACATAGTACAACTCGTACATTATTTGGGAAACTAAAAAGGCCCAGGCCCTCAACTATTGCTATTACAGTGCACATTCAGTGCAAATAGTACAGATCATGGATCTTATGAACTCACCTGGGAACATTGCCCACAAAGCCTGCTACATACTGTAGAGTCCTTTCCCTCCCATACTGCTTCATCCCAAAGTTCTGTTACTCCAGTTTTCTGTGGAGGTCCTTTTTTTGCCATTCCCTCTTACCATACTTCAAACAGACCTGGTCCAGAATTCCAGCTCTTCCTCTTAGAGTTGTATAGTCTTTAAAGTTCCCTAACTTCTAAGCCTTGGTTATATAATGTATATTTAATATATATAAAAATAGCGATAAAATATATCTGATTATCGTGAGAATTAAATGAGGGTAATATACTTAAAGTCCTTGATGTGATATCAGGTACGTTAGAAGCATCTAATAGTACTATTATTATAAACAATTATTAGGTACAGACTGTAAGTGCCCTGGGAATGCACAGACCAGGGGGAAGAGTAAAGATTGAAATAGGCAATACAAATGACTAACCGTGAAAACAAGTACTGACGACTTCTTATTGAATGTTAATTGCTTAATATCTTTTTTTTTTTTAATACAGAACTAGAGCTTACAGTATGTCACTAATTAGACAAATTATGTACCAATAAATTTGGGGGCTTTTTTCGTTCTAGTGGATTTGTTAAAATTATCTCTACAACCCCTACCACCAAAACAAAAACCTTTCAACTTGGAGAAACAAAAAGATCACTGAATATTTCCCAAGAAATAAAAAATTCTGTTTGTGTAAGTTCCATGTAGGTTAAAAACTTTTAGGTTTTAAAAGCTGTTTCAGGTTAACTTTCAGGTTTAAAAGCTGTTAGCTTTTTAAATTGACATTTCTGTAATTCATATCAGTGCTTTTCAGTAATGCTATTAGATGTAGGATTTTGATTATGCTTTACCACATTTAACAGTTTTGTTTTGATTATATGTGTTTTGGGAGAGATGTTGCAAATTATATTTTATATTCACTAACAGTTTAGGTGAATATAGTTTGAGTATCCCTTACCTGAAATGCTTGGAACCAAAAGAGTTTTAGGGTTTTTTTTAGATTTTTGAAGTATTTGTATTATACTTGCTGTTAATCATCTCAAATCCAGAATGCTCCAGTGAGTGTTTCCTTTGACTGTCTTGTCAACACTCAGAAAGTTTAGGATTTTGGAGCATTTCAGGTTTTTGATTTTTAGATTTGAGGTGCTCAAACTCTGTTTTGCACCTCAAAACAAAGGTGCAAAACCCTGTTTACTTTTTATAATAAGATAATCAGTTTTTCTGTACAGTAACAATTCTGGTGCAGATTTGCTAGGGTTTTTTCATATTTTAAAATACATTGTATTAGGTGTAATAGAATTTTCAAATTTGCTTATGGCACATTTTGTGTCTGTCTCATATGTACCATAGGCGGATGATGTCAGTGCTCTCTTGACAGCAGCCATGCCCCCTTCTGCTCTGCCTTCATGTTACAAACCTCAAGTGCTCAATGGTGTGAGAAGCCCAGGAACCACTGCAGATGCTCTCTCTTCAAGTCCATGTAGCCCATCAAGCCTTTCTGCAGCCAGCAGCCTTGACAACTTATCTGGGAGTTTTTCAGAACTGTCTTCAGTAGTTAGTTCAAGTGGAACAGAGAGTACTTCCAGTTTAGAGAAAAAGGAAGGTGAGACATTCTGCAAAAATAAATTTTAGCTAGTATTATAGCTCCATATTTCTTTGGGATGCTAAAAAGTCATTTTTAACCTTAAATACAACTGTTAGTGTCAAATTAAATAGCATAACTTAAAAGTGTTAGTCTTTTACTATTTTCTTCTTTCCCAGTTGAGAGTTGATGACTCTTATGCTGCTGACCTACTCTGTAAATGTTAATCTTTTTACTTTTTTTTTTTTTTTTTTTTTACAGACAGAGTTTCACTTTGTCACTGATATTAAAATTGAAGAACCTCAGACAGAGTTTCACTTTGTCACTGTTGATAGAGTGCAGTGGCATCACAGCTCACAGCAACCTCCAGCTCTTGGGTTTAGGCGATTCTCTTGCCTCCGCCTCCCAAGTAGCTGGGACTACAGGCACCCACTACAACACCCCACTATTTTTGTTGTTGTTGTTGTTGTAGTTTGGGCGGGGCTGGATTCGAACCTCCCACCCTTGGTATATGGGGCTGGTGCCCCCTACTCACTGAGCCACAGGCACCACCCATGTTAATCTTTTTTTTTTTTTTTTTTTTTGAGACAGAGCCTCAAGCTGTCCCCCTGGGTAGAGTGCCGTGGCATTACAGCTCACAGCAACCTCCAACTCCTGGGCTCAAGCGAGTCTCCTGCCTCTGCCTCCCAAGTAGCTGGGACCACAGGCGCCCGCCACAACGCCCGGCTATTTTTTGGTTGCCGCCGTCATTGTTGTTTGGCGGGTCCAGGCTGGGGATTCGAACCCGCCACCTTAGGTGTATGTGGCTGGCGCCTTAGCCGGTTGAGCTATAGGCGCCGAGCCACCCATGTTATCTTTGACTTGTCAAAATTCATCTCACTCTGAAATATTAGGGAACTTGTTTTCATAAACTTTTTTATGAAGTAGCTTATATTCTGAAAGATAGAAAAACTGATCTTTAAAGATACAATTAAATATAAAACTCAAAATAAAAAATGGTTTTTTTAACCCAAGAATGCACCATTGATTTAACTTTTTTCTAATGTTGAATTTTTCTATCTTCTCTTTATAATTTTGTTTGGTTAGAGGCAGAGTCTTTCTCTGTTGCCCAGGCTAAAGTGCAGTGGCATGATCATAGCTCAATAAATAACCTTAAACTCCAGGGCTGAAGTAATTCTCCTACCTCAGACTCCCAAAGCTAGGACTACATGTGCACATGCAAACCTGGCATGATTTTTTTTTCTTAGTTTTTTTTGTAGAGATGGTGGTCTCACTGTTTTGTCCAGGCTGGTGTCAAGCACCTGACCTCAGTCAATCTTCCTGCCTCGGGAAGGAAGTGCTGGAATTACAGTCATAAGCCCACCATGCCCAGCCTCTCTAATTTTTTTTTTTTTTTTTTGAGATAGTCTTACATAGCAATCTCAAACTCTTGGGCTTGAGCAATTCTCTTGCTAAGTCTCCCCAGTAGCTAGGACTACAGGTGTCCATTACCACCTCTGGCCTTAGTTTTTCTATTTTTAGTATAGATGGGGTATAGGTCTTACTCAGGCTGGTCTTGAACTCCTGAGTTCAGGCAGTCCTCCCCCTTGGCCTCCCAGAATGCTAAGATTATAGGTGTGAGCCACTGTGCCCTCACCTCTTTCTAATTTTTAATGTTGGGGTTAGAGTAGAGTATTATATCCTAAGTGGCTATTGAAATTCTGCTTCATCTTTATTTTTTTCACATATAGTATCCTTATAAAGCTTTCTTGTTACAGTGTTGAAATACATTATTCTGATGTGAAATTTTGTTCTATTTCTTTTTTCTAGTTCCAGGAGTAGATTTTAGCATAACTCAATTTGTAAGGAATCTTGGACTTGAGCACCTAATGGATATATTTGAGAGAGAACAGGTGAGTAGATGAATTGAATTGCTTGGTTTAGTGTTTTATGGAAACTCAAGAAAATTTGAGACTTACTTGAAATGACCTGAACCATGTGAGCTGTTGAGGGAGAGTGAGTTTTTTTGTTGATTTTTTGTTTATTGTTTTTTGTTTGGGTTCAAGATTTTTTATTTTTAGTGCCTGCAACAATTGGTTAACATTGCTATCTAAGCTGATGCAGTCTGAAGGCCATGCCACCTTTCTCTTTAGGCATTCAACTGACAGAATTCCTACAAAGATCAGAGACCAATTGGGATCTGTCTCGGTATGTGATGGGGAAGAGGCCTTTTCCCCACATACTTTTGCCAACAAGATTGTTTCATAGCTAAATGGAACTCAAACCCAGAGCATAATTAGTCATCTCCAATACCAGTGATTCCCTCCCCAACCCCAGCATAGGAAGCTGAGGTACAAACCAGAGACTGGCTCTTATTATAAGAAGTACTTGGCTACACCTCTGTGGAGCAACAATGGTAAAGCGACTGGCATCACAGAATGGGGACAAGCAGACTCTGCAACAGGCCTATCTAGAATCAATCAAGTCAGCCCCAGGTTCCTTGGGTGAGATGTTCTTTGAGTCCTACTTCCATGGGGCTAGATAAGAGGGCAACTGGTAGCTCACCATTCCCTGTCCCTCAAATTAAAACATGATAAACCCAAAAAATCTTACCTTCAAAATCCACCATGCTCCTCATGAGAAACATTCTCTACAGTCATCTCTGTACCAGCACCTACTCCCTTCTCTTAACGCCCAGGGCTTCCAGCCCCTCTCCCCACCCTTGGGTGGCTCATCCAACACTGATTTGATACTCCTTGACTCCTAAAATAACTATTTTTTTAAAAAGTTAAAATAAAAGCTAGAGTATCAGTAATAGGACACTCAGTGCATATGCCCCTCTCTCATCCTGCAGAGCCCACCCATTCATACCCCCTAACCTGGGAAACCTACACTACAACATCCCAACAATGGCCTGAGGGTGGCCCAAGGGAAGCTGCCTGAAGTGCTTTTCTGACTCTGATTTCTATACCAGCCAACATCACAGGGAACCAGGGTGAGAAGAGCAGGGACATATCTCCCCCCCCAGTGGATCCTGATGGCCAAAAGTAGGTCTGGGAGGTTTAGCTTATCTCCTGCAGCCAAGCCTGAGTCCAGCACTTACTCTGACCAGTACCTCAGTCCTTGGTTTTGAATAGCAGCAGGTTTGCCTTTTCTTACTTGTTTCTGGGTTTTTTTTTTATTTAAAAGCTGAAGTAGTACTGGAGGTGATAAAACCCTACCAAGAAAGGCAGTATTTTGACCTAATAAAGCAGTAAAGTAAGTCTCAAGAGTTAAAAATAATAATAAAAAAATTAAAATAAAGTGATTGATGAAGTTGAATAAATTAAAGATATGGATTATCCCACAAGGACCTTTCCTTCCCAGGCTGTCTTTGATATTTGGCCAGAAACATTTATCTGTTACTTCTCTGTATTCCCCTTCTCTCTCTCCCCTGAGAGAAAGCCAAAGCCCAATAAGGCCCCAGCTGTTTCATCCCACTGTGGGTAGCACACCTTGACATGCTCAAAACTGTGTGCCATGATACCTGACAACCTTGGCAGATAGTCCTGATATGAAAAGAGGATGCCATACAGGGACCGAAGAGGGAGAGTGTTTTTTAAGAGACTGAGAATCAGTCACTTGTACTTTGGCTTAGTATTGGAATTTCTAATTAGCACATAATTGACTCTCATGTAGTAATAGTGAAATAGCTTATTAAGCCCTGGAGCTCTGTTTATAAAGTACTATTATGTCAATCCCTACCTACTTTTAAGCCTGATACTTTGCTAGCTACTATGGGAAGGTATTAAGTTTGGGCATAGATTTTTAGGAACTTTCAGGGAAAGTTTCATGAATATGTATTTGTAAATGAAACAGGATTTTAAAGAATGGCTTCAATTGAATGAAGTGGAACTAATGTATTAGAATATTAGTGGTAAAAGGGATACTTTGGTTTTTTGTTTGTTTGTTTGTTTTTATAGCGACAAGATCTTACTTTGTTATCTAGGCTGGAGTGCTGTGGCCTGATGATTGCTTTCTATAACCTCAAATTCCTGGGCTCAAGTGATCTTCCCACCTTAGTATCCCAAGTAGCTAGAATTACAAGGCACAGGCCACCCAGCTAAATTCTAAATTCTAAATTTCTTTTTTCTTTTTTAAGAGACAGGTTGTCACTATGTTGCCCAGGCTGATCTTAAACTCTTAGCCTTAAGTGATCCTCAGACTCCCAAAGCATTGGGATTACAGGCATGAACCACCATACCTGGCCTTAAAAAAGGTACTTTGAACAGTGATGCAGAAGTACCACTTAGCACATTCCAGACTTTGGAGGATCTACTGAAAGGAATTATAGAAATAGGGTTGGATGTAAGGTGATAGTAGGAAAGTATTAAGGAAAAGGTAAAATGGTATACCTGAATGTAGTTAATTTGAAAGCACATTTTTGATTTGCACTTAAGTTCTGCCTAGGTTTCAGTGCTAAATGAAAATAATGGTATTTTTAGTAGTTCATGATTCAGCTTTCTGTTTCACTCCAACTTTTCATTTTCAGTTAATTTTATTTTAACAACTGCCTTGCTTTCCTTTCTAAGCTATTTAAAATAATTGAAGTAAATGTATAAATAGAGAATGCCAATATATGAATGTCTACCAAATGAGTAAGCATTCTAAATAGTTTTATCTTCTTTTGTAAGATCACTTTAGATGTATTAGTTGAAATGGGGCACAAGGAGCTGAAGGAGATTGGAATCAATGCCTATGGACATAGACACAAACTAATTAAAGGAGTTGAGAGACTTATCTCTGGACAACAAGGTATTTAATTTTAGTAATAATTGTCATTAGTTTAACAGTTTCCACAAAGGTAGCCCTCAATGTACTAGAGGATAATTTTGAAGTATGTAAAAGGAGCACAATTTAGGATTTGAGAAACCTGTGATAAGTAGCTGTTGCTCTTAACTATGTGAACCTAAGTAAAATTTCTAGACCATTCAGAAATTGGAAAATAGTGTTTTAACTCCTGTAATTAGGGAGTTGGATGATGTTATTTCTGAAGTTATTCTGGCTCTAAACTTCTATGATTCTAAATGGTCTGAAACTTGAGTATCTTCTTTCTTATGGTAATATAATAAATAATAACTAGATTTTCAAGTTAGCCCATAAAATAATGTAGTGAATCTCTTGTTGCTAAAATTCTAAGCAGCTGGAATAAAAATACTGGAAAACAATCATGTTGGCAACCAAAGGAAATTAAATAAAACAAAGTCAAATGATATTTTATGTGTCCTTAATGTTGACGCTTAAGGAAAATGCAAATTTTATTTACTCGACAGATGTTAATAGTTCCTTTGTACCATATCTAGGTATTAAAAATGTTAATTGCCTAAGTGTCAGAACCACATTTTAACTTTACTATTAAGTACTGAACTGAGGGAAGTGATTTACCCAGTGATTAAAAATAATATGTAATTGATGGTCCTAGCCATCACAACTGGGGTTGAAGAGATAGGTAGTAAACTTTATGGACTTCTCGTTTTAGGGTGATTTTAAATTACCTGAAGCTATACAAGTATCTGTCATAATTTTTCCTCATATTTACAAAGAATAAAGGGATTAAATGTTGAAAGGGCTGTATAGTTAAAGGAAGTAATTTGAAGCAGAAAGTATATTACATACTCGTTAAGAATAGGAAATGATGTACTCAGTCTTACTATGAAACCAATTTATAGCTTTCTTATGAAAGCTATAACCCAATTATAGCCCAAGAAGAAGGGGAGAGGGAGGGGAGGGGAGGAGGGAGGATGGGTGGAGGGAGAGTGGTGCATCTTGCAAGGGTATATGTGAAATTTACTAGGTGTAGAATATAAATGTCTTAACACAGTAACTAAGAAAATGCCGTGAAGGCTATGTTGACCAGTTTGGTGAAAACATTTCAAATTGTATGTAAAACCAGCACATTGCACTCCATGATTGCATTAATGTACACAGCTATGATTTAATAAAAATAAAAAACAAATGCAAAAAAAAAGGAAGTTGATTAGAAGAAAAAAAAAGAATAGGAAATGAAGAATAGAAAGGTTTTCTAAAATATTCCCTTAAAACTTGTCAGGTCAAAAATGAGGGTTCTAAATAACAACAGTGAAGGTCCTGGTTTCAATACTAGAGCAGGAAAAGGTCGTTTAGTAGTAGGGAAAACTGGTGAGAAAAAATTTTATAACTTCAAATTTCATTTCATAGGTCTTAACCCATATTTAACTTTGAACACCTCTGGTAGTGGAACAATTCTCATAGATCTGTCTCCTGATGATAAAGAATTTCAGTCTGTGGAGGAAGAGGTATGGTCATACACCTTAAGTAAAAATGGAAAAGATAGATCAACTGTATGTATTGTTGGTTCAGTTGCTAAAGTCCTTCAGAATTTCCAGATGTATTTGAATATGTAGTATGGTTTTAAAATTGTCCCTCTGTAACCCTTGGAAAACTTTAGAAGTAAGCATTTAAGATACACTTTCGGGGTAAACCTTAATTCCAGTTACTTGGTTCAGTACTAAAGTTAGCACTACAGTTAGCCCTAACACAGGATCCTGTTGGAGAAAAGGTGCTGTCATTGGAAAGAAAATGCTTATGTTCCCTCCTTTCATGAGGATAATTGCAAAGCATTGTATTTCAGACAAGACTCAGAACATGTGGCTCTATTTATCTAGGAAAATAGATAAATTCCAGCTTTTTTCCAGAGAATTTTCAGATTCTCTGAAATCTTTGGGTAGTACCCTCCTTACACTCTAAAAAACATAAACCCTTATGTGTGTCAGTTGAGCATAGAGATAGAAAGTTGAGCATATGACTTAGTTCTAGAACTCAAGAAACTTCAATTTTCAATGAAATACGTATTATGCTTTAGTAGGCCAAAATCAGTAAGAACAAATCATTGTTTTTGTATTTTAGTATGTCAAGTGGTTAGCCTCATATATTTAGCTTACCTTGTATCCTCTTGTTTCTGTTTTTTCCTTTAGTTTGCATTAATTTTCACCTATAAATTTTGTTTCAGGTTGACAAATAGCTATCTCTAAAAAATAGTATTCATGAATTTATAAAACTCCTGTCTTTTGAACAACAAAAATGTTAAAGCCTGTTTTGTATTCTCAGAAATATAATTAAATGAGTCAAGAACCATTTTCCCCAAATCAGAAAAGACGTAAAAGCTAATGCACATATATTTCAAATTATTTTTCCATCAGATGCAAAGTACAGTTCGAGAGCACAGAGATGGAGGTCATGCAGGTGGAATTTTCAACAGATACAATATTCTCAAGGTAATAAATTAGTGGATTTATTTTTACTTTATTAAGTTTCCTGAGACCGTAGTTTTTGAAACTTTTTTTGAAAAAAAAAGCTGGGCATTGTGGCAGGGGCCTGTAGTCCCAGCCCTCTGGAAGCTGAGGCAAGAGAACCGCCTAAGCCCAAGAGCTGGAGGTTGCTGTGAACTGTGATGCCACGGCACTCCACGGAGGGCAATAAAGTGAAACTCTCTAAAAAATGATAATAATAATGATTCCTTGTTAAACATCCTTAAGATCAGGGGTTATCTTATGATAAATCATTTTTTAAAATCTTAGCTATGACAATTTAAGACACAGTTTGAGAGTCCCCAGACATAACAACTCTTCATAAACTTTAGTAGTACTGTCTTCATCTGTTCCAAACAAATCTTTTAAAAATGTTTTGAGTCATTCTGTGACAGTTCTGTCATCTTACTGATTTCAGTTACTCTTCTCAAGACCTTTTCCAATTTTGGTTTTTTGTTTTTTTTTAAACTATAGACAGTCAAAACTACAGACCATAATTAAGATACATAATCATTTTGTATTAACTACATTGAAACAGTAAATTATCAATAATTGTAAATTGAGACTATAAATGTGGCAATTGTCTATTTTTTTCCATTTTCATAAATTTAAGCAAGTACTATAAGTCTTTAATATATAATTTTATACTCAGTAGCAGTATCAAATCTTTTAGCTGTATTATTGTTTTAGTATTTCTTGATAGGCTATTATAAGTGTAATATCTACTAACACAAATAAGTATCCTGTTGAATAGGCAAATTTCAGTCAAATCCACTTTGTCTACAAGCATTAACAAAATGTCTGGAATTTGTTAAGGGTGAGGGCAGGAGAGAGAATGTGTTTGTTTTCTAGAGCAGTTGGTTATAAGAAAAATACAGTTTCCTTCCTCTGTAAAGTTATTTCAGTATAATACTTAATGAAAATATTTTCAGTGATAAAACAGGGTTTTTTGTGTTATACATAAATTAAATGTGTTTATGCCTTGATTATGTATGTGGAAATATTTTGAGTTATTTTAGCCACAACTAAAACCACAGCTTCCAGGTATGCTCTGGGGACCAGCAGGGGGCTGTAGCACCTTTAAACATAGCTGAGAAACAGTTCAGGATTGTGAAATTTGACCCTAGAAGTACGCCTAATGAGACCAGCATTATCTTTAAATCTCCAGACAAAAATTTTAGGAATTAGAAGACAAAGGGAATAATGGGGGGGGGGGGTGAGGAATCTTTATTATATTTAAATTATTAAATATTATGTTTTAATATTTTTAATTCAAATATTTTTCATTAAAAACAAGTTAAGATGGTACTTTGAGCCAGATAAAATGGTAGGAAAAAAGATACTATTCTCTTTCTAATACTTACATATAGAACTTGTGAACTCAGTGTGTCTGATTTAGAGGTGTTTGGGTAATCATAAATGAGTGAGAATAGAAGTAGTTTTATCAATTAACAGTATTCTTGACCTTCACATATGGCTACATGTAGCTTTTTCTTTCCTCTTTGAAGTTTTTTATTTCCAAAATGTAGCTAAACTTCCAACTTTATGGTTGGGACAAAGTATTTTTAGTTAGCTAAATAATACATTTTACATTTCAGAAAAAAGTTTTGCCTTCTTTCTGGCTAAATATATGTCTCAGAGTCTTTTGGTTAAGATGAAGAAGTAGGTAAGTAATTATTAAGACATAACAATTTGATTTTTCTGATTCATTTTTTATAGATTCAGAAGGTTTGTAACAAGAAACTATGGGAAAGATACACTCACCGGAGAAAAGAAGTTTCTGAAGAAAACCACAACCACGCAAATGAAAGAATGCTATTTCATGGTAAGTTTCCTCTTCCTCAGCTCTGTCACACATTAGGATAGAAGGTTGTTTGTTTGTTTGTTTGTGTCAAGTATGAAATAATAATCTGTGTGTGTGTGTACAGACATGAATAAATGAATAGATAGTTGTGGGGTTTTTATTTTTGCTTTTGACCCAGTCTTACTCTGCCACCTAGGGTAGAGTGCTGTGATGTCACAGCTCACAGCAACCTCAAACTCTTGGGCTTAGACGATCCTCCTACCTCAGCCTCCCAAGTAGCTGGGATTACAAGTGACCACTGCAATACCCATTTAATTTTTCTATTTTTCATATAGGTAGAAGTCTCACTCTTGCTCAGGCTGGTCTTAAATCCTAAGCTCAAGCAGTCCACCCACCTTGTCCTCCCTGAGTGCTAGGACTATAGATGTGAACAACCATGCCTGGCCATTTTTTGTTGTTGTTGTTTTTTTGAGGCAAGGTTCACTCTTGATGGGCTAGTGCACAGTGGCATCATCATAATGCCACTACAACCTCAAATTCTTGGGATTAAGCAATCCTACTATCTCAGCCTCCAGAATAGCTTGGGACTACAGGCATGCACCACCATGCCAGGCTAGTTTTCCGGTTTTTTTTTTGTTTTTTTTTTTTAAGAGACAAGGTCTCATTTTATCACCCTCAGTAGAGTGCTGTGGTGTTGCAGCTCACAGCAACCTTCCGCTTCTGGGCTTAGGCAATTCTCTTGCCTTAGCCTCTCCAGTAGCTGGGACTACAGGCATCCATCAGAACACCCAGCTATTTTTTCGTTGCTGTTTGGCTGGGGTCCAGTTCGAACCTGCCACCCTCAGTGTACGGGGCCAGCGTCTACCCACTGAGTCACAGGCACCACCCTAGGCTAGTTTTTCTATTTTTAAAGTGAGACCAGGAGGATTACCTCAGAAGTACATGTACAGCCTATTCTGGCTTTGATTCTGAGTGTTTATTTATACCACATTTAACTTACATGTTCAAAGAACCATTATTATTAACCTATGGAAGTTTCCGATAACTCTTGTTGAATTGAAAACATCATTATTTATCATTCTTGAAATTTTCAGTTTTTGTGTCACAAGCTGGCAGGTGCTGATTTTAAATTTTACTGAAGTTAAATATAGATATTCATATAGTATTTAGCAGGCCTTCAAGCACATTATCCATAATAGCTCTAGTTTGTTCCTTTGTCCTTGATTGCAGAAAACTTTTAGAAACTACAAACTTCTATAAAACACAATATTTAAATTAAATTTTACAAACCCCTGGAAGAATGGCCACAATAGAGTGGATTCATGTACAGTGTCTAAATGGTAACTCTTATTCTAAAACCCTAAAAAAATCATGATAATCTGTTGGCAGAGAACATAACACATGTGCATATACACATGTTGTTACATAACATAATACATATTAGCTTGATGATGTATAATGAGTGAGCTTTCTAATTTATAATACATATAAATAGTTTTGGTTTTTCCAAATTAATTTAAATAGTCATTGTATTCATCTCTTATTTCTATAAAGTGAAATTCAGTATATTTTCCTATTCTTTGGTAGGCAGGAATACTGATATTGATAAATCAGTTAGCTATGTTATTTTGGCTTTTTCCATCCTCCCACTCTGATGCCACTTCCTCCCTGGTCTGATTCCCACACTCAGTACCTCCTCTTTGGCTAAGCACTCCCTTGCAAGGAAGGAGGAAGAAGAAAATACTCAGGGAAAAAAGGGAAAGTACCATATTTGCAGATGGAATCTTGTATAGCAGGTGATAGAAGAGAAGAGGAAGGATAGAAGAGAAAAGATGAGGATAAGAATGTAAAATTCTATTTGGGCCACTTTTTTTTTTTTTTTTTTTTAGAGACAGAGTCTCACTTTATCGCCCTCTGTAGAGTGCCGTGGCAGCATCACACAACTCACAGCAACATCTAACTCCTGGGCTTAGGCGATTCTCTTGCCTTAGCTTCCCGAGTAGCTGGGACTACAGGCACTCGCCACAATGCCTGGCTATTTTTTGTTGCGGTTTGGCCGGGGCCGGGTTTGAACCCGCCACCCTCGGTATATGGGGCCAGTGCCCTACTCACTGAGCCACAGGCATGCATGGTGGGCATTACTGTAAGACCTAATTATATTCAGCTTTTCTCTCTGAAGTGAATTAAGAGACTCTTGGTTCTAGAATTATATTATTGGTATGTGGAATTTGATAACTCTGATGTTTCAAGTCATCTGTTTTTCTAGTTCAGTCTTATATCCTTATTTTGGTGTCTGAATCACCACCTTATTACAAACATGAATTGGGAAACAATTCTTTATTCTAAAATAGTAAAAAGATAAAAGTAAGTAGTAAGCTGACTGTGAGTTAACATGTTACCCTTTTTTATTTTGGCTCTATTGTGGTGGTACTGTATGTTTAAGAATTCAACTTCTAAGAGGCTTTCATCTTTGCTTTTTCTTCTAAGGTAAATGTTCAACTGTTACCCATCTAAATGTATTTTCAGGGTCTCCCTTTGTGAATGCAATTATCCACAAAGGCTTTGATGAAAGGCATGCATACATAGGTGGCATGTTTGGAGCCGGGATTTATTTTGCTGAAAACTCTTCCAAAAGCAATCAATATGTATATGGAATTGGAGGAGGTACTGGGTGTCCAGTTCACAAAGACAGATCTTGTTACATTTGCCACAGGTAAGAAATCACGTGTTCTCATTTCTGATTGGAAATGAGAAATTTCCATATTTGAGGAGGGGCATTATGTTGGACAACTTAAAGAATGCATGTTTTAGGTGGTTTTTGGCCTTCTCATCAATTATAATAATAGTTAACATTTTATTAAATGACTAAGTCATGATTCTAGGCATTGGACCTGTTAACTCATTTAATCGTTAGAACGGCCTGGTAAGACTACTGAGTAGAAAATAACAATGGACAGGAAAAAGACTTTATTGTAGCCCTTGAATATTATAGGACTCTTTAAAAATCTAGTATTCAAATACTAAAATGGCATTATTTGCCAGGTGTAAATGTTTTAGGAAGTGCCTGAGGAAGTCTCTCTTCCACTGCAATATGATCCTAATCCTCAGTTTGTAGTATTACTACCACTGGAAGAGTTGTAATTAAAATCCATCAATCCCTTTAGAAAGCAAATAATTATTTAATAACTACTTTGCACCTCTTTCCCCCCACTTTTAATTATCTCTTCTAGCTCTCTATTAAAATCATTCAAGTAACATAGTCCTAATTTCTAAATTCCTGATAGGCAAAAAAAATCTGCTATTTAAAAAATCAAGTAAATTTAATTACTGAGATGTATTCCATAGGGCACTGCTTACAAAGATCTAGAGCAGTAACTATCAAACATTACTATGCATCAGAATCACTTAAAGGGTGAGTTTAAAACAAGATTCCTAGGCCCTACTTCCTGAATTGCTGATTTAGTAAGTCTGTAGTTGGGCCCTAGAACTGGAATTTCTACAGGGTTCCCAGGTATAGTGCTATGCTTCTGATATCTAGGAAAAAACCCTAGAGCAGTATTTTGCATCTTGACAGCATATTGGAATCACCTGAGGAGCTTTAAAAATTAATGACTGTCTCACCCTCAAGATAGTCTCACTTAATTGGCCTGGGGATAGTCTGGGCATTTGGGATTTTTTATAGCTTCCTGGCTAATTTCAAAAGGCTGTCAAGCTGAAGGATGGCAGTCCTGAAAAGAAACAGGGTCTGGTTTTGTGTTTGTTTTGTTCTTGTTGTTGTTTCCTCCTAAATTTAGACTCACATAGGTGTTACACAGTAGATTCTCCTCAGTATGACCTTGTACCCACTTTTACATCATAAATTGTACTGGTCAGGAGGCTTATAATTTGCTCAGATTCTGTAAGTTAAACATTGCTGTTTTTACTTGTCGTATATATAATCAGAAAACTGAATCATTCTTATTATTAGTAAAGAGCAATATTCTAATCTCCCTCTTCTTTGGAAAATAGAACTATCAAGTGGTCCTCCAAAATCTCCTATTCTCTTTTAGAAAGAAAAGAAAAAGTAATCATAAAGTAATACTGAAAGGTTTTTTGAAACTAAGAAAAGCCAATCACATGCTGGGGAGACAAGGAAAGTAATCTTTTAAAAGGGTGGCAAGGGCTTGGCAGTTGTAATCAGTGGCTAGGGCGCCAGCCACATACACTGGAACTGGCGGGTTTGAACCTGGCCCAGGCCTGCCAAACAACAGTGACAACTACGACAAAAATATAGCCAGGTACCTATAATCCCAGCTACTTAGGAAGCAGAGGCAAGAGAATCACTTAAAGCCTAAGAGTTTGAGGTTGCTGTGAGCTGTGACATCACAGCACTCTACCAAGGGCAACATGGTGAGACTGTCTCAAAAAACATAAAAAGAAAATAAAAGAGTGGTAAGGGGAGACCTATCTAAAGAAGTAGCGTTTTAACTAAAGCCTGTAGAAAAGTGGTAGAATAGATACTGTTCTGATGATGGAGGAAATTATATGGCTGAAGGTAATGAGATAAGGAAATTTGGCCTTGGTGAGAAAAAAGAGAAATTAATGTGCCTGGATCATAACATAAAATAAGATGAGAGAAATTGGAGCCATTGTAAGGAATTTGGGTTTTCATACAAGTACAGCGAGCAGCCTATAAAAGGTTTTAAGCAGAAAAGTGACATGGTCTGATTTATGTTTGGTTTGTTAAATCACTGGCTGCTTAGATAGCAAATGGTTTGGACAGGAATTAGAGTAGAAACATGGAAAACTGGTTGGAAAGCCGTTGTTACAACCCAGGTGAAAATTTTGGTGATTTGGAATAGTGGTAGTAGAATTAAGAAAAGGGAATGGATTTCAAATATATTTTGAAGGTGAAGTCAACTGGACTTGCTTGGGTTGATGTCCAACTTTGCAAGGCACTTCATAAAAAGGCAATGATTATGGTTTTGCTAATGTACAAACAAAATGGTAAAATCTACATCTCTATAAAGTTACTACATTTTTCAGGTTTTATTGTTAAAATAAGGATTAACTAAATTGACATTCTTTTAAAGTCATTCTTTTAAGGGTGAAATGATAGAAACAATGTTTAGTGTTTATATATAAAAGCACTTAAAGAACTATGCAGCATACACAGATTGTCTTATTCTGTGTGTCAGATTGGTTTTCAGGGTGATCTTTTCCTTTTCCTGTTACAGACAGCTGCTCTTTTGCCGAGTAACCTTGGGAAAGTCTTTCCTGCAGTTTAGTGCAATGAAAATGGCACATTCTCCCCCAGGTCATCATTCAGTCACTGGTCGGCCCAGTGTAAATGGCCTAGCATTAGCTGAGTATGTTATTTATAGAGGAGAACAGGTAATTCTGTTTTATTTGTTAAACTTCAGAAATGCTATAGAACCATGATTTAACTTTTACTAATCTCTTAAATTGACAAGTCATATTACCTTAAGAAATTAGTTTTTTTTAACTTTTATTTGGAAATAATTTCATGGAGAAACTCATTGTTGTCTAAAAATAATA